ATATATATATATATATATATATATTTGATGTTTAGGTTTCTTGGTCACATCAAGATTTAGGTGAAAATGTTGGATTATTTAGCATTATTTAGAGTGAAATATAAGGCATAGTGACATTCATTTATTGTCTCTCTTTGTTTTTTTATATTCTATATGTTTGATCAATGAGGGACATCTACCTAATCTTGTATTTTTTTTTCATTTGACATCATTTAAGGTGAACTAATTATGCATTTTATTTTAAATGAATGCTTTCGTGTATAAATCATTTAAATTCATATTTGTTAGATCATGAAATGTTTAAAATTTGAAAATTATTCGTCATAATAGATATTAGATCTTATTAACTTATAGGGGGATTTGCGTGCATACCCCTTATTTCTCATATATTTGCATCTCTCGGGCCTATACTTAACTATTAACTTATACTTTACTATTAACTCATATACCAACAAAATATTATGCATTACATAAAAATGTCTCTGATATTAATTTTTAAAATTAAAACATATGTTTTATAAAAATGTCCCTGCATGTGGTGTTCATTCTCCACCGTCGATCACTGCATGCGGTGTCCAATCTCCACCGTCGTAAAGTTGTATTTCAATGGACCCCACTTTTAACTTCTTTTTTTTTTTTTAATTTTGATTGTAGTGATCGACGGCGGAGATTGGGCACCGCATGCATCTCTACATGCGGTGTCCGTATGGAATAATTTCTCCATAATTTGCCTGTTATACTTTCATGTAAAATATTTAAATTTTTAGCATCACATCAAAAATACCACTATTGCGCTTCTAAAAATGAAAACTTACCTTTCTATACGTAAGTTTATAACAGCAGTGTTATAAATGTAAATATAAAAATTTATGCTTTAGATATTTAGATACATAGCATGTGATTTTCCCAATAATTGTTTCGATTGCTTGGAAGCAAACTCAATCCTAACTAAAATAAAGATGAAGGGGACTGACTGTTTGATGACGGCAACATGAACAGATATGTGAACATTTCTCCTAATTATGGATTATTACATTTTTAAATGAATGATTCCAATTTGAATTAAATTCTGAGTATTTATAATTAGGGGCATTTACAAACATACCACACAATTCTTATGTATATACATATCTAACACCTAAATATTCATATTTACATACATACCGCTCAAAGCTTTAAAAAGTGAAATTTACATTTTTCATGCATAAGCTCATGACGCCAAGATATTATAAGAGTAGATATCAAAGTTTGGATGTTAGCTATGTAAATACATAGGAATTGAATGGTATGTATGTAAATGCCACAAATACTTATTAAATTTGCAAAAATGTAAAATGTTTCACTTTTTATAAGTTAAAATAGTGATATCTTTAATTTGATAGGAAGAATTTTAGCAGTATAAAATGTAAAAAAAACAAAGTATAGGAATTGGGTGGTATTTACATAAATGCTCCCATACTAAATATGGTCAAATTCTATTCATCTTTATTTTGAATGTACAATAGTAAGTTATAACAAGTGTTATTTTGAAGCCTAGTGAAATACATATACAACCCCCCCCCTAAAAAAGAATGGAACGTGGATACATGCAGAAGAACAAGTATCTGATTCCTTAACTACGAGTGTGATGTACATATTTTCGATAAGAACACCTTACCTTCTTCTTCAACAATAGGTTGGCCTGTCATAGTCTGGTGGAAGAGAAGGGCATTTCTCATTCATGTGAGGATATGGCTCCATGGTATTGTATCCAGGTAATTCCATCCTATATTTCCCTTTAATCTGACAGAAAGGAAGCTTCACATTGTCCTCTTTGTTGCACCACTCAGGCAGTCGGCTATAGTTGTTCTCAAAGAACTTTAGGGTGTATGCATCTTTAATCTGTGTTATTAGAACAAATTTAATTCATCAGTATGAGACTTGAGTTATAGTCGTTCACAATTTACACGAAACCGATTAGTTCCAGAATATATGAATGTGTTAATTAGCCCAAGTCTCCCGTGGAGACATTTCAGCCCACAATAAAAAGGAAAAATTTTCTGCCCGGACTCTAGACATAGCTCTATGTGCGGAATCCAAAAAAATGCCGCCACGTGTGCTACGTCGCGGAGGTTATTGAAGTGAAACCTCAGAAATTATTTTATGGTATTTTAGGTTATTTCAGTGTTATTGAAAATAAACATATATATTTCACTTCAATAACCTAGAAATAAGCTAGAAATAACCATAAAATAACATCAGCGGTTTCACTTCAATAACCCCGAAATAACATTGCGGATGTTATTTATGGATTATTGAAATGAAATAGATGAGTTTCTCTTCAATAACTCAGAAACAACCTTCATTGTGTTATTTCGAGGAGGTTATTTCGGGGTTAAATAGAACCGCAGATGTTATTTCGAGATTATTTTGAGGTTATTTCAGGGTTATTGAGGAGTTCGCGATTCCACTTTAATATTTTTTAGGTGGGCCCGATATAGCACACATGATGATATATTAATGGGAGTCTGCATGTAAAGCTACTTTCGGGGTTCGGACAAAAAAATTTTCCTATTAAAAAAGCCTGAGGACTAAATTAATATTTTTATAGAATTTGGGATTAAATAACCACGTGCAAAGAGTCAGGGGACTATTCTCGTTCAAAATCTATATATATATATAAAGTAAAGTGCCAAAATAGTACCCTGACTGTTGACATAAGATCATTTTAGTCCCAGAGTCTTTAAGATTATTAAATTAGTTCCCAAACTTTTTAAATTATTCAGCTCATATTAAAAGAGACTGAGAACTGAAATCCAAACATCATGTAAACAGTCAAAAGGACTGTTTTGGCATTTTACTCTATGTACATGTGTGTGTGTGTGTGTTTCTAAATATTATGACATGTTTCTATTAAGAATAAAGGTTGATTAACTCACTGTGAACTCATTGACTTGTATAGACCTGGCGATAGGATCAAACAGGCCGGCATGCTTGTACATCTCCAGGATGAAAGCAACACAAGAAGTTGATTTCCCGTCTGAATAAATCCAATCATCATTCTCTGGAATTGCCAGCAATTTGTCGAACGAAAAGCCAAGCTTCTCCGCTTCAACAATAATATTGGGCAGATCAAGTCCCTGCAGCGAGCGAAGAAAACATATACTATGGTTAATCTTTATCAGGATAGCAAGAAAAAATAAACGTTCATGAAAAAAAAAACGAGGCAGTTAGTTGATAAACATATAAAATATTACTCAATAAATAGTGCAAACACTACAGCGCTGGTTTGAAAAATTGAAAAGGAGGAAATGAAAAAGAAATGGAAATGTGAGAAGGAATTGAATTGAAATAAAGTTTTCATCGATTTATTTTATTAAGGAGAAATTGATTGAAACAATATAATTTTCCTCTTGTCGGACTAATGAAAAATTGAGTTTTTGTTTCTTGTGAGGAGAGTTATATATGAGTTGCATTGATGATCCAAGAAAAAAATCTTTTTCTTTAATAAGGATTGCACAGGAAATTATCCATGAAAAAAATGCATTTCTTAACGTTTCCTAGGAAAATCAAATTACCTATTAATAATAGTAAAGCACACACCCAATCTAAAATTATATTAAAATAAATTTTCATTCCTTACAATTCTTTAAAACCAAACATACAGTAAATGGATTAAAGTTATACAAAACTAAATAAAATCACCATAGCATAACATAAAAGTGTTTTGAATGAGGTCAATCACCTCAAAAGAAATGACATGAGCTAGGCAAACGATGAAACCAAAGAGGCATACACTAGCTTAAGAGGTGTCGAATTGGGTTGTTTGGTTGAGCTAAAACGACTGGCTTAAGTCAACATAAACCCCAACTTAAAAGACTTAAAACATTTGTGCAGAGATGAGCACATGATTTTTTTTATTTTGGTTGTTTTTTCAGGGTCCATTTTGATCTTACTATTTTTTTTTCATAAGCATGATTATAGTGGCGAACCCAATTGAGAATGGGTTGGGTTATCTAAAGACTTGGTTGCCTGAGTTGGCTCCAGACAGTCTGGCCATCAGTTTGTTGATTCAGCCATTTTTCTGGTTGATGTTGATTGGCTTATGTTGACCTCAATTTTCGTGAGGTCTAGTCTTCCGCTTAGGGTTTAGGATCTAGCCTTAGGAATCTCCCTTTGACTATCTTAGAACCATAGAAGTGGGACCCGCCTCGTTTTAGTTCGACCCGCTTCCGTCCCCTTCTGAAGTTTCACGTGTGTGGTATCAACTTCTAGCACTTAGAAGGACAAAACCAACATGAGGAAACCCAAAAGGGATTCCCTATAGGACCTTCCTGAGCCTTAGGGTGGCCTTTTGCACAATTCGCACTCCCGCGCGCACAAGCTTCGCAATTCGGAGAGTCGATATGTCTGATCGCCGCAATTCGCATTGCCTGCATTGTTACTTGTCGAATGCTCAATTAAACCTTTTGGGACGATCGATCGCG